TGGCACCAGAGCTCTCTGACAGAGAAGGTTCAATGTCCCAGAAAAAAATACAGTTCCCATGATTCCCTAGCACTGAGCCAGGACAGTTAAAGTGGACTCAAGCTGCACTATTTCTGGCAGTCTGTAAAGGCCCTCAGTCTTAGAGGCAAATGCAACCCCCCTCCCCTCCACCAAACAAATCTTGCCAAGAAAACCCCATGATAGGTTTGGCTTTGTTGCTGCGTGCCTTCAAGTCATTTCTGACTTATGGCAACCCTAAGATGAACCTATCATGGGATTGGGGGTTTGCCTTTGCCATTGCCAACTTCTGAAGCTGAGAAAGTGTGACTTGCCCAAGGAAACCCTGTGAGTTTACATGGTTGACCCAGGATTCAAACCCTGGTCTCCAGAGTTGCAGTTCAGCACTCAAATCACCACACCACACTGGCTCAGGTTTGGCTTATGGACGCATAGGTCAGAAACTATAGCCACACAACAAGTGCCATATTCCATTTTAACTGAATTCTGTGGAGTCCTGGAATTTGTATTTTGGTGGAGCATTACAGCTCTCTGTCTGAAAATTCTTATCTGCAAATCTCAGAATCCCAAAGGCTGCAACCATAGGGTTTAAACTGAATTGTAGTGTTCCTTTTGTGTAGCGTGAATGGGCCTCAGGGCAATGTGATAAATTAAAATGGAAGCTAAACTCAGGTGTGTTGTGGTTCTTGCCAGTGCTGGGACAGAAAATAAAATTAAAGGGGAAGGCATCAGCCACGGGAAGTACTTGAGGTTGCAGGAACCTAGCACCAGTGTTCTCCGATAAAAATACAAGATTATTTATTGCCTCTTCCACTCTTGATCTGCATTGCCTGGAAAATGCCTTGGCTCTCTATCCTTTAATGCAAGAGGGCATCCATTGTCTAATTCTAGGAGATACTAGTCCAGAACTCAAGGAAGGTCTTTCCTCCTCTGGGACACTGTGGTGGGCCAGAGTGTTTGTTTAGAGACAGTTTAATTGACTATAAAGGAAGCTTGAGGTAGGGAAGTTAAAATGGTGGTAAAAGCCTTCGGCTCATAAATGCTGAGTGGGGAGTAGTTGAGGAGGTCTCCAGAGGCTAATAAAGGAAACCGCTCATCTCCTTACCAGGAGGGGGCAATGAGGAGTTTTAGCCTGGAGGGAATGATTTGACATTTATATCTAGTTACCCCTCAAAGCAGAGTTTGAATTAACTTGAATGAGCTGAAACTGACCTGTATGCCCACGGTTGTTTTCTTTTCCTATTAAGCTACCTGTATTTGGGTTCCTATTGTGCCAAACTGTTTCACACCCTGAAGGCGGTGTTTCACACCCTGAAGGGTGGGTAGCATGAGGCTCTTGAGGCTGCCAGACTATGACTCCCATTATCTCTCATCACCAACTGTGTTGACTAGGGCTGATGGAAGTTGTGGGCCAACAATATCTGTACTCTGGAGAGCCATGTGTTTTCCAGCCAGCAATTTCCAAACTTTGGTCCTCCAGGTGTTTTAGACTTCAACTCCCAGAAGCCCCAACCAGCTTGGCCAACAGTCAGGAATTTTGGCAGTTGAAGTCCAAAACATCTGGAGGACCAAAGTTTGGGAATCACTGCTTTAAGTCCTTAGACCTCCTTGTAATATTTCTAGCTATGGAGTTCTGGGACAACCACTCTCATGTGTAGCCGGAGCTTCAGATTCCATGTTAATAGTAGACAGAGCTTGGAAAAGTTACTTGTTTGGACTACAACTCCCAAAACTCCCCAGCTGGCATCCCAACATGATGATCAAGTTGATCATTTGGCTTCCTGAAGAAGGGAATGAGTACCATAGTGATTGCTAGACAACTATCTCCAGGTTCACCTCTTTCTTCCTGTCCCAATGAAAGCATCTGATCAGCAGATGAAGCTAGGATATGTAAAGTCTGATGTCTATATGGTAATCTCTAAAACTGCAGGCATTTGGAACCCACTTATCATTTGCTCTGTATCTGGGCCAGGCCTAATTTACACCAGCCTGTTGTCACACAGCAGATCCATTGTTAAAGCAAATTAAATGTACCTATATGGTACCAATCACTATCACACTGTCTCTGCAATAGCGCAGTGGTACTGGTTTGGCCATGCATGATTCTGCTACCAGCCTTCCCACATTGCTGCATTAAGGAGCACTGCCACATTAAGGAGCCCTGGTTAAATTCTGGTACTGCAGCCATTCACAGCCACAAGGTTGTGAGTTTAATCCTAGGCATGGTTCCAGGGTCTGCTCAGCTTTGCATCCTTCCTTAGGTCGCTAAAATGAGTACCCAGCTTGTTGGGGGCAATTAGCTTACACATTGTAAACCACGTAGGGAGTGCTTAAATTCACTGATAAGCAGTATAGAAATGTACTTGCTATTGCTATTGTATTAACCCTGCCTTCCTACCCATGTTCTCTGTACTGTGCACATGCACAGAGGCTGTCAGTATGCTTCTGGGAAACCAAATGCACAGGTATAGGATGAGAAATACTTGCTTAACAGTAGGGTTATGTGAAAAGGGACTTGGGATTGATCATAAATTGAACATGAGCCAGCAGCATGATGCTGCACCAAAGAAGGCAAATGCTATCTTAGCCTGCATTCATATAACCATAGTTTCCAAGTCAAGGGAAGTAATAGTTCCACTATATTCTGTGCTAGTCAGGCCCCATCTGGAGTACTGCTTGCAGTTCTGGCCACTCATTTTAAGGATACAAACAAGTTGGAGAAGCTTCAGAGAAGGACAACAGGGATGATAAGAGGTAGAGAGAACAAAATGTATGAGGAAAGGTTGAAAGAGTTGGGTATGTTCCGCCTGGTCAAGAAAAGACTGAGGGGTAACATGATTACACTGCATTTGGCAAAGGGTTGGTCTCAGTGGCCTGTGGGACCCCTTCCAACTCTCTGGGCCTTTACGGACTGCCAGAAATAGTGCAAATTGAGTCCACTTTAAGGGTTAGGGTTAGGGTTAGGGAATCATGGGAACTGTATTTTATTGTGGCACCAGAGCTCTCTGACAGAGAAGGCTCAATGTCTCAGAAAAAAACTAATTCCCATGATTCCCTAGCACTAACCCTAACCCTTAAAGTGGACTCAATTTGCACTATTTCTGGCAGTCTGCAAAGGCCCTCTGATTCCATGGTTTGAACTCAAGATGCTAGTGATGATGCTGAAGGAGCAACTCCCCCTGCCTCCCTGCCTTAGGAGTTGTGCAGGAAGGACTCTCCTTTGTGTCCCACCAATGGAGGCAATATGTTGTGGGGGCAGATGAGAAAAGCCCTTTTCTTTTTGTGACACCCTGATTGTGGAATAGCCTCTTCTCAGAGGCCTGTAGTGCCAACACTTGTGTCATTCCAGTGTCAAGTCAAAACCTGGCTTTTTATTAAAGCCTGTGCAGCCCAAATGATTTTATCCAAACTTGCACATGCCTTATGTTTTCAAACTATTTTAACTGATTATAGTTGTTTTGTCTTAACTTGTCAAGCTGTTTAGTATGCTTTTTGTCTGTTTGAATTATTTCCAACTGTTATATTATCAATTAAACTGATTTTCCAGTATGTTGCCCTGTGACTGTAAGATATGGGATGATATATAAGTATTAGACTCAATCTATCCACCAATTTCTCTTTCTGGAGGCCACTGGTGCCAGTTGGTGGCTTCCATGTCCAAAGTTGGGCAGTGAAGTTGGGCAGTGAATGCACTCTGGGTTTTAGTCAGAATTTCAAAACAGCTTATCCAAGATCATGAACTGAATTGGAGAGTTAGCTTCAGGACCATGGATAGCTCTTTTAAAGTTTGGATTAAAAGTCAGAGTGGATTCACCACCCCACCTCACTTCATCCTGGCATAGGTACTATGAGCTGCTACTGGAGATTACCCATATGTTTAAGCATCACTTTATATGTGTGCATACTGTGTGCATTTCAGAGAGAGGAGGGGGAAGAGATTGGAAACTTTATCATTCAAATACTCCAGTGGTAACTCAAAAGACTATGCCTCTAAAAAAAAAGAGAAAAAAGTAAACCCGCCCCCCTGCTAAATATAACCTTTTCATGGACAAATTTTTACAGATCGAGGCAGTTATTATAACTCCACACAAACATGACTTGTTTATTTTTCTTAAATAGAGGCTTTATGGTGGTTTTTCTTTTTTCTCTTGCACAAACTACAATTGCTGCTTTGAATGGCTCGGTTGCCTTATTGGATAGGAGAGAGAATGTTCCTTCTGCCCTTGCACTACAGGAGTTCCTGCCAGCTCAATTTGCGTTCCTTGTTACAACTCAGGCGTGCCATCGTTTGAGATGCCCCCAGTGGCTTTCTATGGTTTTTCTTCCTATTCCATGATGGTGTACTATGGGCAATGTAATCAGTAAGTGACCCTGTCGCCAGAGGGGGTTGGCATAGCCTGCGGCAATAGCTGCTCCCAGTGCGAAGGGTGGAAATGTATGGGAGAACAAGCCAATAATGAATAGAGAGAGCAATTGACAATGCAGAACCGAGCTTGGTGACAGTGGCAGTGAAGAAAGTATAGCACTGTGGAAGATGCTGAGCAGAAACAAGTCCTGCCAAAGGGAGATGGATGGCAGAACCACTGCAAAGCAGACAGCAGTCTTAATTACAGAGGAAAAAGTAGTCAAGGGACTAGATTCAGGGCTAGTCTACACCAGTGGCATCCCTAGGTTTGGTGTCACCCTGTGCGGTAACTCATGGTGTCATCCCCCCCCCCATTGACCTTCTCCCATACCACACCATACAGAATCCTTAGTACTTTTTTTGTACTAATGTTACTCATTAATCATATTTCCTGTATATTACTGAATGTAGTGGTAATAGTTGTGACATAAACATCTTTGTTTGTTGTTGTGTGCCTTCAAGTCCTTTCCGACTTATGATGACCCTAAAGGGGTATCCCTGGTATGATTTGTTCAGAGAGATTTGTCACATTTTCCCCTGAGGCTGAGAGAATGTGACTTGCCCAAGTGGGTTTCATGGACAAGCTGGGAACTGAACCCAGATCTCCAGAATTGTGGTCCGGCACTCAAACCACAATGCCACACTGGCTCTCTAAACAACTAGCAAAATTAAAATTACACCTTTAAATTACAATACCATATGCACAACCTAAATGCATTTACATATACATAGTTTCATGTGGTTGAAGTGAAAATTTGGTTAAATGTTATGTTTTAAAAGCAATTTTTAAAAAACGTTTTTAAAATTAAATTTAAAATTTAAAAACTGGGGCCTCTCCTGTCTCCTCCCACTAAGCCTTACCCCACTCACATCATCTCTTCCACATTATAAAGTGACACAGGCGAATGCCACAGCCCCAAATGCCCAAAATCAGATGTTTGAGGAACCGTGGTGTCACCCCCTCTTAGGTGTCATCTGGTGCAGCCCGCACCCCCTGCACCACCCTAGTGACACCACTGGTCTACACATAAGTGTTTTATGCAAATTGCTGCAGATTTCCACACATTTGCATTGGTGCTTAGTTGTCTTCACTATCCTGTGCAAATTCACATCTATTCACCTTCCCTCTGCCAAAAATATGCATGCATGCAAATCCATGTGGATGGACAGCCACATGTTAATGTATATCCTCACAGAAACTCACAGATACTCTGGTAAAAACCACTTTCAGCTGAGTTTATGGACTTTTCCACCCCACCTCTGCAAAAAGCCCGAATTCCTCCTAATCGTGTGTGGCTGGATTACACTTTATTTGATTTGAAAGAGGAATATTTTAATCATGTAGACAAGCCTGAAGGCATCCAAAGCTTGGAAAACAGGAACCTTTTGGGAATACAAGTTCCAGTTCCCCATCCTGGCCATGCTGGTTTTCTGAAAGTTGTCGTAACTTGTAGAAGTTACTTTTCCAGGTTCTGCCCATCACTCCCACATAATCCATCTGTTGTATTACAGCCGCCCTTCGTGTTCTTCCGTCACTTTCAATGCCAATTGAGAGTCTCCTGTTATAACCAGGGTTTTTCTGCTCTCCAGTGCAAGAGACAGATACTTTTTTTCGCTCTTGTGCCTGATGGAACTGTTCACTGATAATTGAAAATGATACGTGGGCAGTTAGCTGTAAGAAGAAACACTCAATTAAATTTGCAGAGGCTAGAAACAGGCTTTGAAGGGGAAGAGAAGTCATGCAGAAACATAATTCTGTAGTAAAGGAATTGTGAGGAAACTAGCACTGGAGCAGGGATGGATTTGGACAAAAACAGGGTGCTCCCCCCCCCCATTCCAAGTGGGATCACTGGAGGATGGTTCAGTGCTCCTCTACCTAGTGTCTTCCATTTCTTCAAAATAAGAAAATCAGTCTTGCTCCTGCTTGATTTCTCATGGCTTTTGGTACCATTGATCATGGTATTCCTTCCGAATCAACTCTGTACTTTAGTGGCTCCACTTCTTTCTATTGGGCAGATGCCATGATGTAGTATTGGGAAATTGTTCCTGTCCCCTGGCAACTGTGCTGGGGAAGGAGTCCAAAATTCATCTTTGTCACTGGAAGCCAGTGTGGTGTAGTGGTTTGAGTGTTGGACTATGACTCTGGAGATCAGGATTTGAATCCTGACTCAGCCATGTAAACCTACTGGGTGACTTAGGGCAAGTAACACTCTCTCAGCCCCAAAGAATGGCAAAGGCAAACCCCCTCTGAAGAAATATGCCAAGAAAAACCCTGTTATAGGGTTGCCTTAGGGTTGCCATGAGTCAGAAATGTCCTGAAGGCACACAACAACAACAACAACAACAACACTAGAAGCCCAGGTGACTTGAAGGCCTTTAAGTGCCTTTGATCAGTGTGCTGGTCATGGTCGTTCTTAGACAAAGATGTCTTGGTTACAGTGGTCCAGGTATTGGAAATCCCAAATCTGGACTATTTCTATGAGCTGTATGCAGGGCTCCTATACTTGCTACATACGTTGATTTTTCAGAGACAGGCTGATTAATCCTCTGCCATCCTTTTGTCAGCTACTTTTCTCTCTTTCTCTCTTCTCCACCTGCATTCCCCTTTGTCCTCAGCTTATTTCAGTTGCTGCAAGATGAGTTCAAAGTGCAAAAACAGTTTGTACTCAATTGGCTCAGCAGGGGAAGAAGTGAGGGCACATTCATGCCCTTCCCAGTTGGCTCAGGCAAAAACAAACTGCAGCAGCATCTCTTAGTTTGTGTATTCTTTTCTCATTTTTAACTTTTGCCATCTTGACTCTGGTGTTCCTTGGCCATGCATGTCCCAGTTTTCATCTGTGTATTGTTAAGAGGTTATGGGCTGCATGTAAGGCTTATCCAGATGCTGCAGAGGGTGCAGAATGCATCAGCTAGTCTTCCAAATGGGCCAACTTACTGACATCATATAATACCTCTGCTGAAGGTATTGTAGTGGCAGCCTTTTTCCTAGGTTTAAGATTTTTGATGCTATATAGGGATGTAGGAAGCTGCTTTGCACTGAGTCAACTCATCTAACCCAATACTGTGAACTCTAATAGTGACTTTCTAGATTTCAGGGAGGAGTCTTTCTTAGCCTTAACATAGAGATCCCTGGTATATTCTGGTGGTCTCCAAGTATTAATGAGGTCTGACCCTAAATAGATTCTGAAATCAAAGAAGATTGGGTATATATTTTCAGGGTGCTGTGGTATTTATTTATAAAAGCCTCAACAACCTGGACCCCTGTTACTTGTGAGACTGGTTTATCCCATGCAGATCCACACAGCTCTTAAGGTCATCTGAAAAGGCCTTTTTGTTGGTGCCACAGGCTGAGATACACTCAGCAGTCATTTGGGCTAGGTCATTTAAGGTTTTGGTGGCCATGATGTCGATTCACCAGATATGTCAGGATAAATAATTACAGTAATATTCTCTGCTTTGTGGGAGAAACTAATATCCCCCACATTATTCTCTCTGTCTGAATGTACTAAAGTGTGGGGGAGGAATTATTCTGCAGAGGGAACTATGTGGGATTTTTACACCAAACCTGCTTGCTGTGGGAAAAAAACTGGTTTCCTGTACAGATTTCAAAAAACAAAACAAAACAAAAACCAAAAAACCCAAGGTGTTTTTTCTTCACAGAATAATTCCTCTATAACACTTCAGGACATTTTAATATTAAGAGAAAGTTGTGTAAAATTCTTGTTCTTCCATTTTTCTTTTTGATGGAGTTTCCTGACTGTTGGGAAACCCTTTTTCCCCCACCTGGGAACAAATAATTTTGAATATTCTTTCCATCTGAAATGTGGAATGACCTTCCCTTAGAAATATTACATGGTCCAACTATTCTTGATTTTAAGGGACATTTTTGCAAACCTTCCTTGTGTCGCCCAACCATCCATCCATTTTCTTGGACAATGTACAGTAAGTGTTGTAGTTCATGTTGTTATATAATTATTGTCTAACACTTCAAAAACATCAGATCTAACATCAGATCTGTAAATAAATAAATAGCTAAACAATACAATAAATCTGGCCAATTCATGTCCACTTTGTGTTAAAAGCATGTTAATCATTATTTACTATTTTGCCACCTAGATTTTGATTCTTCTCCAGATGTGATCAGTGGAATTTGATGCAGGGAATGGTGAAATTAAGCAACTTTAAATTATGGACTTAATGTCTTATTGTATGGGGGGGGAGCCAAAATGGAGTGGGAGAGTTGTGGCTTTCTTTGTGCCTTTCCATATGCTGTTGTAGTACTTCTGTTTTTTTCTCAATGGAGATGGTCATAAAAATGTGCCTTTCACCAAGCAGATTTTTCCAGCATGACAAGACATGCTTTTACAACCATCTCTCTTGGGAAGAGAATGGAAGTGCTATGACAGCATGCAAAGAGGCACAAAGAAAGTTGCTACTCTCCTGCTCTGTTTTGGCTTTGTTTTCTCATGAAATTAGGTTCTTAATGTTCTTATGGTTCAGGTCGCTTTTTCAGTAGTAATATGTATTACTTCTCCAGCTTCAAAATATAGGAAACTGGGCTTGTTTGTTCTGTTGAGTGGATCCACTGTCACCAAATTATGGTCATCTGCCACCAGACTAAGTCCTAACGTATCCACTGGATGTGCATGTTACCTGAGATGTGTTTTGGAAGTACAGTCGGCCCTCTTTTTTTTTGTGGGGGATCCATTCTGGACCCCCCCACCCCCCACCCCCCCATGAAAATGGAGAGTCACTGATATTCAAGCCTCATAGTCTTGAATGAGGCACCCCCCCATTGATCTTAATGGAGGTTGCCCTTCCACGAATATTTAAAACTGCAGATCTCAAGTCTGTGAGAATGGAGGGGTGACTGTATTTGATAATGTTGGCCACTTCAGTGTAGATGCAAATAGATGCTGCCTTGGGTCCTGCATAATGAAAAAGGCAGAATATTAATCGAATCAAATCAATTACTGTAATCAATAGGGTAGTAACCAGAAGATTCATCCCAGGATGCTCAACCCAACACAAGACCTTGCTAGAACCATGTGTGTGGAGTATCTTTATGTCCCCACTAGGAATTCTGCTGAAACTATACTTGCGTGTAACTGGATCTTGGTCCACATGGCTTGAATTCCATAGTGTTGGTAGCAAAGAGGCATCAATGCTTATACAAGGTGATTACTGAGTGAAGGAGTCTAGATAAGGCCTGCCATTTGTTTTCACCTCTCTGTATCTTTCTTTGGTCTATGTACTCAAGCCTTTTGCTTCTTTCTTACGTGCAGAGGTCACTTCTCCCTTCTTAGGGGCTATCTGCACTGGAGAACTAATCCAGGTTGGTACCACTTTAACTACCATGGCTCAATGCTGTGGAATTCTGAGAACTGTATAAACTACCAATCCCAGAATTCCATAGCACTGAGCCATAGCAGTTAAAGTGGTGTCAAACAGGATTATTTATGCAGTGTGGATGCAGTCACAGTCTGTTCCCTTTGTCTGGCAAACAGCATCCATGGGGCTCCAAACCAATAACTGATGCTAGCTTACATATCTTGTTGGACTGCAAGTCCCAGCATTCCTTTCCATTGGCTATACTGGCAACACCTGAAAGGGCCCATCATCTCCAGCCTTGCTCTGTTTGAAAAAAT